AATGTTATTTTTGTGAAACACGGATTTTTTTTTTGTTGCTTTGCTAGATTTTTCCCCTCTCCCAAATGGCAAGGTTTTTAAGATTACTTACTTTAACATTTCTTAACAAACACAAGAGTCTTCTTTACAAATCCTTTTTGTTCCGTCTATATAACCCGATATTCTGTCTTTAAAAATATGCAATCTATAGTGGAACCATAAAAATTTCTATAATTTTTATTTCAACTTATTCAATTGTTAAAACGGTCTAACAAAGCGTAGTGTCATTTAAAAATTGGGAATGTTTGTAAATCTGTGGTAATGTGTCTGTTCGAGTGTTTGCGGGTGTGTTCTTTCCTTTGCACATGGAGGACACATTTTAAATGTGGGATTACAAACAAATTCGGAATTCATGGTGGACGCATTTATGCAGATTAGCATGTCGGCGCATACGTCCATACACACACACACACATATATATATATATATATATACACAAATGTAAATGTGTCTGTGCGTATGCCGCCTCTTTCCACGCGAACTAACATGATGTAGTTTTATTATTCATAAAAGTTATTTGCATAAGATATAATCTGTTATTTAGTCTCAAAATTTGAATTCAAATGTTGATTTTATTCGCTCACTGACCTAAAACCAGTGTTTTGCTATTTTCAATTGCAATGAAAACTTTTTTTATGCTAAACACTGTTTTGAAGCTTGCTTCACATGTGTTGCTGGCAAGAATTGTGACTGTCGATATGTAATCTTTAAAATTATAGTGTAACTGCAGAAATAAAGAATTAAATGTTTGGAAAATAAAATGTTTGGAGGATTGGGTTGTGTGAAAAAAGGAAGCATGCAAACCAGTCTCATGCAGTTAGCCTTTGTGTAAACTTCGTGTGGACGCTGATGAATGTTTTAAGGTAAGGTTTTGTGAACAACAGACGTACCAACAACGTTTTATCGGCTGCATAATCAAGTGATACGTTTCAGAGTTTCAGATAGACATATCGAGATTTTGCAAACGAAATGGAACATTAAATATACTCCACCGTATGGAGAATTGTATAGAAATCCTAATGTTGGGGGATATTCATTTGTTCGCAAATCGACTGAATAAGAAATTTCGAAATTTAGAATGTTGATCATTAGTTCATATTAACGTTAGATAAGTTATGTCTCCGAATAACTTGAGACTTACCGCTCACGTAACATTACAGACATATTTAAGCTATTTAAAGGCAACATATGTAGCATAAAATTCCATGAAGGTTTGGTGATGTCTGTGCCTTCCAATTATGATTCATTTATTTTTTTTTTTTTTCGATGTGTCATATAGAGTAATGTCCATATGAGTCTATGATTTTGACATAATTTCCAATTTTTCGGTACTTTTTATACTCTCCACCATACATAGTATGGAGGGTATATTAGGTCGAAATAATCATTTTAGACCCAACAATGTATATATATATTCTTGATCAGCGTAAAATTCTAAGACGATTTAGCCCTATCCGTCCGTCCTGTGTGGAAATCACTCTAGCATCCGAACGAAATGAAGTAGGTTGATAAAATTTTACAAATTTGCATTATGTCTGCAGGACTTTTTGTATTGAAAATGAGCCATGTAGGTCTACGTTTTCGTACAGACCCCATATAACGGTACCTCCCGATATTCGGTATTTTGATAATTTTAGCGACATTATTTACCGAAATTGTTTCAAATTTGGTATTTGAAGTTCGTAATAGATACTACACATAACGGAACCCCCGATATTGGGTATTTTGATGATTTTAGCGACATTTTTTTCCGGAATTATTTCAAATTTTGTATTTGAAGTTCGTAATGGATACTACAGCCTATGCAGGAAAATTGTCTGTGCAGGTCCACATCTTATAACCCCCGTGGTATCTCCCTATTTTTAACGGATTTTATTTTTTTGAAAATTGCCAAATTTGTATCAAAATTCGGGCCGGCAGAAATTACAGCTTTTTTTGAAGGCTTCAAATGGACCAAAAAAAAATTTCTGATCTTGCAGTCGCATTACATTTTGGATGACCATTGTATTATATTTAGCGGATGCAATGGAATGTAGGGCCAACGCCACAGGTCAAAAGTCAAAGATAACAGTTATGCAGAACTGTTTTGCATTATTTCAAAAACGAATACGGTCAAAATGAGTTTGAACCTAATGGTTCAAATTGTATTATGGAGTTGTATGGTCTATCCCGCACCATTACTTACTTGTTTGATCTTGGAATTAAGGAAGGATAAATTAAAATAAGAAACCTTTCAGTGCATTTGTTCCATATTGAACGAATTAAAAATTTTATTTTAAAAAGCTTTGTATTACCATTTCCAACAAACACATGTCCATGAAATAATTAACAGGGTAATCTCATATGCCAAATCTGTAATGGCAACCTTAAAATAACTTCTTCGACTTTTATATAAGAATGCGTCCATTGACAAAAATACGCTAAAAATCTTCGATCCGCATTGTTCTCGAGATCAATTACTCTACGATACAATTTCTTTTTTACTAGCAAATGTCCGCTGATTCGTCAGCGAAAAGCCCACCTTAAAATATTTTATTCGCTCCAATAATTCGTCTTACGCCTTTTTGGTACTTATAATGCAAAATTTGTTACCGTTTGACAAAAATTTTTAATCAAAACTCAATATATCGTACTAAATGTTCAGGCTTGCAAGTTTTTTATATATTATTCTTTTTTCGGAAGTAATAATACGAAGAACAAAAGGTCTTCGAAATCTTTCATTTTAAAGTTCCGAGGAGGAGTAAAATAATTGCACAATGGATCCAAATCCAATTTTTCTGTCTAAACCTATTTCGATGTCTCTATATGTCCTGGAAGCCAACAGTGACCTCAATATCAAATACCTTTCCCCAGTACCAAATTGAGTACCACTTTGTATTTTTCGAACAGTTATAATACGTATTGGCAAAAACACCACCATATACCAATAAAGACTATATACCTAAAGACATTTCGTACTTTTCGTATACAGATACCATAAGTAATCTAAATAACAAATTTGGAAATTTTATCTCTGTCACCCAATACCAAATATTGTACCATTCAGTACTTGTCGTACAATTATAGTTCATATATCCGAAACCCTAATACCAACTTTCAAACTGTAAGCATTACCTGTTTTCCATATAGCAAATTGTACCAAATATGGCATTATTTTGTACTTTTCGTATACTTGTAGTACACATTTCCAAAACCACTTATTTATTACAAACCCCTGTCCACCCTAAACCAAACTGTTCCAAATTTAATGTCATTTATTAGAGTTTCCAAAATCATAATATATAAAACTCACTTTCCAACCTTGAATCTCATACCAATGTTGAAGTATTTAGCTCTATCCGTTCACATAATACAAAATGGTACAATTTTTTAAGTATAGTACTATTACAGTAGCCGCCTTATAAAACGCCTACACACCAAGACTGATCCTCAGTTATTTGACTACCCTTTTATATATTAGTATATAAAAGTCGGGAATTTCAGACAATAAATATTTTTGCCACAGGACAAAAGTTGTGAGGACATTTCCAAGGAAAAAAATAATTTTTTAGGTTGGACGTTTTTATTGAAATTACCTTAAAAAATTATTATTACCTTGTAAAATTGTGTTTTTGTCAACTATAAGCAATAGGAGATTTATGGATTTATGTCAATAAAAGCTTGTGTAAATTACAGTTCATATCCAGAAAATATATACAGGGTGAGATGAAAAAACTGCAACCAACTTCAGACTGCTGTCATTTCTAAGCCACTCGTCCGTTAAGCTGTTAAAATTATTCCAATAACAACTCATTATATTGTTAACAAGCGTGAGAATTTTCCAGAAAAAAGTTATTCGTGATGGAATTCAAGCGTGACAGTGTGATTTCTTTATATTTGGCTTGAAAACTACAAGTGGCTATCGTTAGAGCACTCCAACATTTAAATGTGAATAAATCTTTTGTATCTCGTACCATCGCTCGTTAACGTGATACTGGTAGCATAGCCCGATGTCAAGGAAGTGGACGGAAGAAAACAGCAACATCAGCAGGAATGGTTCGAAAAGTAAAGAAGCGACTTGATCGAAACCCGCGTCGCAGTGGCCGGGTTCGTGAGCTGAAAATATCACAATATTCCATTCGCCAAATACTTAAAAATGAGCTCGGGGTAAAGCCATTGAAATTTCAAAAAATGGAAGAACTTATAACGCAACGGAAAGAAAATAGACTCAAAATGAGAAAACATTCGTTGTCCAGCAGTTTGTCAACAAACAAAATGATCATGTTTACTTGCCAAAGAGGTCAGCTGAAAATGTGCACCTTCGTTTGGCCACGAGAACTCAATCGCCGACCATGGTGTTGGTGTGGACCGCCATAACAGCCGATGGTTGCTCTCCGCTCGTATTTATCGACCGTTGAGGTTATATTTAAGCCTTGGGACATTTTGGCCACAGACCTAGGACATTCCAACAGGATTCAGCACCATCACACTCATCACGCGCCACCCAACAATGGTTACGAAATGAGGTTCCTCGTTTAATTTACAGCGCACAATGGCCACCAAAATCCCTAGATACCAATCCGTTGGACTATTGTTTCTGAAGTATTTTTGAAGGCCATAATTCGCGCCAAAGGTGACCAGTTCTAAACTTATTCTAAAATTTGATGCTATTTCCGAAATTTTTTGCTTCCATTCAATAAAATTTAAAAAAGATATAAAAATGATGGCGTTTGACTTTGCTGCAGTTTTTTGTCTCACCCTTTACATTCTCATTCGCGAAGCAACTTAATATCAAAATATTGTTGTTGGCTAACGGACGATTGCGTAATCATTTCAATCAAATCCGCATTTTCCCCTATAACCGCAAAAACAATTCCTTTCAGCTGTCAAATAATTACTTCAAATTAACAATTTGTCTAAAACTTGAATCTAAACCGTACAGCTTTCGATTTTACATTCTTTGTTTATTTATTTTCTTTCAGATTGCAAAATAACATGGGCTGTTCCTTTGAAACAGCCATACAGACTAGTGGGATAAATGAAACATTTGATACTGCATGCCTAGCAACGATAGTGGAGCCAGCGTTTAGAACACGAAACTTTTACGCAAGAGAATCAACAACAGCACTTGTTCCGGGCAATAATAATTGCATTACTCACAACAACAAGAACAACAACAACAGCAGTAGTTATAACACTAAGAACAACAGCATTTGCAACCACTACAACCCAAAACAGGATAAAACTAACGACGACTGCCAACTGCAACAAAAACCAGCTAAAGCCAAAAAGACTACCACCACCAACAACAATATCACATCAACAATAACAACAACAGCAACAAACGTTAAAGATACCAATAGTAGCAGCAACAACAATAGTCGAGACGAATTTAAAGGCAAGACCAACTTTTACAGTTTGGAAGTCAAGGAAAACATAAATAACAACTGTAGAAGTCGCTCGCCGAATTTTCTGCCGGTTCAAGAAAGAGAAACACTTCCAGAGTCGTGTCCCAGCTGTTATCCACTCGCCTGCCACAATAGAATTTGCTGTCGTCAACAGAGCTTGTTTGTGTCCGAAATTGCCACGCAGCCGAGATATTGTTTTGACTATCTCAGCTGCAATTGTTGCAACAACAACGTCAACAATTGCAACTGCAAGTGCCCTTGCCCCGGTCTGGTGTCGTCCTTCGTCTGCCAGAAACACAAAAACACGTTTCGCAATGAATGCCATGACAAGAAATATGCATACCTGGACAGAACCCCCGATTCCATGTCCCAGCAACTGGATTCGTGCAACAACAGCAGTTCGATGGAGGGAAAATGTTGGCAAAACACTGTGTCTCATGCCAGTGTGGCCCTAACATCGAATGCTCTCGATTTAAAGAACTCCTTAACTGAAGCAATTGGCAATTGTGCAGCTATGGTGGAAACATTGATGCGTACCACTGACGAGCAATGTCGGAAGCATTGCGCAGCTTTCGAGCAATGTAGCTCCATGAACAGCAACCACATTAACAACAACACCAACAACAATAATAAGTCTGAGCCATATAGGGGCTACTGTCAGCGCAAACAAGGATCACAGCCCGAACACATCCCTTACACTTCAACGAATTCCTCCCGCTCTCTTCATGATGCCATCAGCTCAAAATATCATCCTCATCACCACCACCACCACCAGCAATGTACTCGCCAGCAACAGTGCGGCAGCAGTAACAACAATAACAAAGTTAGCATTGCAAACATCTGCAGTAACGCATCCAACAGCCGAAGCAGTTGTAGCAACTGTCATGCCGCCTCACCAGCCTCGAGGGCGTCAACTCAAACCGCAGCCTTCAATTACATTGGCCACAATTACTACCACTTTTTGCGCAATTCGATTAACTTTTATACCGCCTACACGGCCAGCATCATATTGGTGTTGTGCTACCTGACTACCACCACATCCGCTGCCACACCCAAGTCGGACGCCACATCCTTGGACAAGCATCCCATGTAAGTTATTTCCGTCATGACACCCACTAGCGCATCATAGAAGGCAAACCGAATAGCTGGTACATTAGGTTGTATTGGAAATAGCTGAAGATTCTTATCTGCTTACAAATAGATATAGAGGTTGAATCCATTTCTTCTTAATTGCACATAAAGTTTAGTAGTTTAGTTATATTCATTTTCTGTATGACTAAGATCACTGAGGCATGAGACATAGGCAAATTGCAACAAAAAAAATTGTAGGAAAAACTCAGCCAATGACACATAAGTATCCTAAATTATGGGGGTAAGATCCCCCTCTTTTCCACATTTCTTAAAATTTGCTGATTAAGATTCCTTGAAATCCTGACATTTCAGATACATACATTTAAAAAAATCACCAACATATGTAATCCGCCTTAATAAGGCAAAACTCAAAAAAATAATTATTTTGGTCGAAGTTTTTACAAATTTTATTTAATTTTTCAAGGAAGCTCTTATATACAGATATTTCTTCGATTTAAGTTGTTGAGAGGGGTTAAAAATTCTTTCCAATGGCCATGAAGTATTTAGGGAGATTTTGGCTTAGATTGCCAGCAAAGAAAGGTGAAAAGACGGGTACAACAATAAACGTTTATATTGGGAATATATGTGAATGAATTCGAATATCTTAAGAGAGGTTATAGTTTGGAATCAGAAGGAATTTCGAGTAGGATATATTAATTCCTTTCGATTTCATATAGCTGCTCTAAGCCATAATACCCATTCAAAAATGATTATGGTTGGTATTACATAATTTCCCAATATAAACCTTTATTTTTGGCCGGTGGCTCTACTGTATCATATCATATATCATCATTTAGTTGTCCCCGTCCAACTTTTAAACTTTAATTAAGAACATTTTGGTCTTCGACATCACCCGCCTAACACGAGGTTTTGTAGGAAAATTTTACGTTACGGCCTTATCCCCAAAAATGTGTTTTCAATATTCATGAATTGAAAGCGTTAAGGTCAGATTTAGACAAATGATGGTTTCCGAGATCTATAGTAGAATTTAGGGAGAATATTTTGGCTTTTTACTCCTGTTGGTGGCTCTAATTAAAATTAAGACCAAAGTAATCCTCATATCAGTATAATTACCAATTACGCTATCTACCTTAAAAATTCAAGTATTTCAAGAAATCTTAATCCGAAAATTAAAAAAAAACACGTTACTTTGTTATGCAAACTTTTATGGCGCCGCTATACATGCATTTCATTTTGATGCCCTCTACTATTGTATAGAGGGTGTATTCAGTTTGTCATTCCGTTTGTAACACCTCGAAATATACATAGTCCCCATATAACTGTACCGGCAGCTTTAAGGCGTTTCACGCCTCTAAATTGGCAGTTTGTGTTTCCAGTATGTAGGCAACATTCATGCAGTGATAGTTGTTTCAAATTTGGTACTTGGAGAGCACAAAAGGCATTTTTTGCAGATAATTGGCAATACAGGTCCATACTTTCGTATAGCTCCAAAATAACTGGAGGTACCATTATATGGGGGTGTTACCAATATAGCCCATTTTCAATTTCATTCAGCCTGCAAAAATATTAACTTTGGTGGCAATTTTCAAAGTCTTAGATTAAACAATATGGGCTCTTTCATGACTTCAACAGACAGACGGACGGAGACAGACGGACATCGCTATATCGCCTTATAATTTTATTCTGAATAGGAATATATATAAAACTTTTGGGATCTCCGACGAATATTACGAGGCATTGAAAATGAAATGACAATATACCCTCTATTATATGATGGAGCATATTAACATTGAAACAGATTTCAAAATTAATGTCTAAATGGTTTAACACGTTATGAAACATTAACTGCAAACAAAGGAAAAGCGAAAAGAAAGCACACAACTATTCACTTATTTCCACTACAACCTAATTTGAATCAACACAGTATTAAACGATTGGATAATTTTTCCAACTCCCTTATTTAATATGAAAAAGAAAAAACAATATATGCATATTTTCCCCTGTCGTTCATAAGATAATATCTCCCGGAGCACTCAACTACAATATATCCTAAAATATTAAAACTTTTGTTTTGATCTTAATTTTGTCTATTATGTTAAAAATGTGTTCATTTTCTTATCATTTAATTTATTTTTAATACACTACTTAAAATTGAACATCTATTATAATTTATTTTCTTTGCATTATAATTTCAGTAAAGGCATCGATTGGTCGAAGTAAGTGCACTTCACAGGTTCCAGAACTTAATTCAGTTTCTACAAATTATTTATTTTTCATTTTGTGATTGGCTGTACACAGACGCATGTAACTTGCTAATATAAATTTAAATTTATTTGTAAACATTTGACAACGAATCTAACTTGTCTGACTTAACGGCTATATTAATAATATACATTAATAAATGTAAAAATGTGGGTATATATGTTCGAAATATAATTTAATATAAAAGTTGGTTGTGTTCGACAGTATGATCCGTTGTCTGTGATTTTTTGTTTCATAGTTTAGTCTTCACGATTAACACTTGCAAAAATTTGCTTTACATCACACTTACACTCATTAATTATCCAAAAAAAAAAATATGCTAAACATAAGCTACGATGATTTAGAATCAAATCTAAACTAGACATTTAGATTTACTCTGACGATTACTTTAATTATATAACTAGGCTGTATCATTAGATATAAAACGAAACTCATATATTTGATTAATTTTTCCCAACACTCTTAAAAAAATAAAAATAAATTGACTCATTTACATTTAATCAAATGGGGCCGATGGCACGTTTTTGAAGCATTTTCAAAACCTCGAACAGCAGAAAATTAGAATCTGGCAACAACTCAGGGCCTTATGAATGTAATTTAAGATTCTAATTAAAAATTAAAACTATTGTTATTGTTAGTATAAGTAAATATTTTCCACTGGGGTCATTTGGAGTAGAACTTTCGGTATTGGGGCGTATTAGGCAAATAATATACATGTGATGGCAGGAAATAAAGTGTTCTATTACATTATTAAACAAGTAAGCAAAGACTATAGTCGTGCGGGGCCGACCATGTGATACCCCACAACACTACAATATATTCGAGGTCCCCTTATGTCCAAATCCCTTTTTGAAGATTTCGTTTTTGAAATAAAGTTAAAAATAAGGTCCGTGTCGATTCGTTTTCAACGGTGGCTTATAAAGCGACTACAAAATTAAATGCATATCTTAAGAACAATATGTTTTCATTCGGACCCTAACCCTACCTCCATGCAAAATTTCGTATGGATCGGACGATAATTGCGCCATGCATATAATATCCACAAAAAGTAGTGTTGTGAGGTGTAAAAATTTAGAAAATTTACAATTCCAAAAAATTCAAAATTGAAAAAATCGCATGCGATAAACAATATGACAAAAATTGAAAAAATAGAACAAAAGATATTCACTTTTTTATTGGTATATTTTTCTGCGATTTTCTTAGATTTCATCCTTTTTTGGCAAGAGACCATTCCGAATTGATGGGAATTGTGAAAATCGGCCCAGCGGTTCTTGACTTATAAGCAGAATAAATAAGAACAAATCTTTTACATATATACTTATATTGTATTGTCCAATTTCTTGGATATTAGCACCATTGTAATGGTCAGAAGTGATTTTTCAATGTATTCGTGATCTGGCTGGGATTAAAAAAATTCGCGGTTTAGTGGAAATTTTCCTGTTTTCTTTCATAAAAATTAGGGTCTATTTTTACCCAAATTGGTAGGCTTCTGCCCTGCCTTAAAATCTAACACCATGTAAATTTCCGCGTCGATTGGTTCATAATTGTGTCATATATAGCAACTTCAAAATCAGGAAATTTTTCAGTTTTTGCTCCATTTCGACCCCTTAATATTGTGCGATTATCTCCAAAAACAATAGGGTTCTATTCTGACCCCAACCCCAGCTCCATTTTCAATTTCGTGAGGATCTGGTCATAATTGCTACCTGTAGCTTGATTACAAATTAATATGGACAGACGGACGGACGGAGTTGTAGGGTATAAAAAATATGATATGATGATATTACAATATAAGGCAAATCGGACGAAGATATATATGGAATATGGAATATGGAAAAAACGTGGACAGACAGTGTTCCCTAACAACACATGGATCCATTATAGAAAATAAATATCGAATTTTAAACGGATGCGTTGGCAAAAATCGTTATGTGGGGGCTTTAGGAAATCAGGATCCTATATAGTCAATTGTTTGCTACAGTGGTTAGTATTTATTGTAAACATCAACAATCAAATTTGAAACAATTTCGTTGGCGTGCCGTCATATGGGGACTATGCGAGAACTCGGTTCTATATGGACAATATTTTGCCACGGGAGGTACAATCTATTACGATCTCTAAGTACCGATTAGAAAAAAATCCGTTAGAAAATGTAGCTTAAATGGACAAAATATCGAATATCGGGATGTACCGTTATATGGACACTATACGGATTATTTTAGGTTATTTTCGTATAGAAATTGTCATCTTCTAATAAAAATAATGTATAAAAATTCAAGTAAACGCGTGTAATTTTTCAAAAACTTCTAGTCAAACCTTTCTTTTTTTATTTTTCATTCATCACCTCATTGTGCCGTTCACATTCGTTCTTGCTTATTTTTAGTGTTTCGCTCCGATTTGGTATTAATTTAGATATAAACTATGTTCCATACTTGTATTTTTTTTTTAACTTCAATTTCAGATTTGATGAATCGAGTTCGGATAAGGAAATTCTGGATTTACTTCTGGAACAGAAACGCTATGACAAACGATTACTGCCGCCAGTTCATGGTAAGTTAATGCCAATGGAAAAGTGGCAACCAAACGATTCTTAGTGCCACTTAATGACACACATACACAACAAGCGACACACATATTTAGAGACATATATATATATATATACAAACACTAATACAGACACAAACTTAAACACAAATCCGTAACAATGTGGCAAAAACGGTTTGAGAAAGTCATTTAGTTAAGTACTTTCTGTAGATGTAGTTGTTTGTAGACATAATAATTTAAACTAAAAATGCCTGTTTTTGTTGCTTTTGCTTGATTCCGATATTTAATATAAGTACAATTGTTATATGCTAGTAGCTGCTGGCGTCAATTAATAACACTGGGCAACATGAAAATCTTTCCCAGAACGAACCGGAAGTGAATGTGAGGCAAGTTCGAAGAAGGGAAATTATAGAGTTTTGGACAAAATATACATTTTCATATTTTAGGTAATACGAAAAATAAAATGTTTTTGTTAGACAATTCGAATTTTGCTCTTAAATAAAATATTTTACAAATGAAATGTCCTATCGTATTTCTAGTTAGTCCTGTATCGAAAAAATTTCATTTTTGAACATATGTTGCCCAGTGTATTATGATCTTTATCCAGCGCTGCCTTGTTTTATTTATAAATTTGTTGTTGATTTTTTCTATTTCGATTTCTTTATCCTTGTCACTGCATAGAGCGGTTCGAGACTGTGCCACTGCCACTTTATTTTATTGCCAACCAAAGGCACAGACAATTGGGTAAAACATAATGGCTGATGGTTGCATTAAAATAAATTGTCCGGATAGACTTGCAGCGCATTCAATAGTAATAATTGCTACTAACTACAACAACATCACGAACCATAAAACTGAAGACGACAACAGAAACAACAAACCAACAACTTAATTGAATTGAAATTTATGTACACGTACAAATTAAATGTGCATCGAAATCGAAATTGCGTTTGCACTCGTGTTGCAAGTCTAATTTGAAGATGGAAAACTAAAGCACAAGGGGATTTCTTTCGTATTTTTCCGGAAATTTGGATGAAATTTAGGATAGTTTAAATATGGTTTTTAACAATTTGGAGACAATTGGACAGCAATTGCTGAATTAAACTGTTATTTTTTTTCGTATTCGGATTTAATGGTATATTTGGAAAGGCAGGAAAGGTGCAAAATTCTCTAGTTTGGTTCTTAAATATGACCCGTAGAGCAACTGCAAAATCTGGAAAAAAATAATTTTTTGTATATTTGAAACACTAAATATACATCTTCAAAATAATAGGCTTCTACTGTGAACCTAACGATAATTGCGACCTGAATATAACACCGTCTACACATAGTGTTGTAGGGGTAAAAAATTATTAAAAAATGTACAAATCAAAATTGTAAGTCAAATATGAAAAAATCGCATGCGATAAAATTTTAAAAAAAAAATGTTCACTATTTGTAGGCAAATTTTTTGTGCGATTTTCTAAGATTTTATCTTTTTCTGGAAAGAAGCCATTCCGAATTGGTGAGAATTATCCAAATCAGTCCAGCGGTTCTTGACTTATAAGCGGAAAAACTAACATTTATTTCTTGAACATATATATTGTACCTATATGGCAATTTCCGATATCTTCGCTATCAGCAACACTGTAAAGGTCAGAAGGGGCTCATTAGCGTATTTGTGATTTCGCCGCTATTAAAAATATTCGCGGTTTAGTGGAAATTTTCGTATTTATACCGTACAACACTATGTATTAATTTGTAATCAAGCTACAGGTTACAATTTTGGCCCGATCCTCACAAAAATTGAAAATGGGTCGGAATAAAAGCCTATTGTTTTTGGAGATGATCGCAAAATATTTAGGGGTTGAAATGGGCCAAAAAGTAGAAAATGTTCCTGATTTTGCAGTTGCTCTATAGACCACAATTATAACCCAACCGACGTGATAATTTGTATGGAGTTTGAGTTTTGGACTAAGCAATTTGGGCGGCCATCGGACAATATTTAGCGGGTAAAAAAGACCCTAAATTTTACGTAAGAAAATACGAAAATGTCCACTAAACCGCGAATATTTTTAATCCCAGCCAAATCTCAAAGTCACAAAGGTCACTTCTGACCATTAAAGTGAAGCTAAGAAATCGGATTTACAGCACAATAGGTACAATATTTCTGCGCACTAAAAATTTACCTAAAAAATCAAGATCAAATTTTGGTGCGTTTAATAATTTGGAATAAATAATACAATATTTAAGTAATTAATGATGATTATACCTTAAATTTCATAATGGTTGTGAAAACCGAAATCTAGCTTACACTGTCCAAACATCTAATACAATTGTCTCCAAATTTTAGAATTCTGAAGAAGATTTTTTTAATATGAACCATAAAAGATGTCCAATTCATGTATATCACAAATATGTTCAATGTTTTAAATGTTTCAGTTGTAGCAAGCATTTCAATGATTTTTTCAAAAGGTCACAATTAAAATCGAAAATTAATTAAACATGTGTGGAAAACAAAAACTGAATCCATGAACAGCACCTATGTTGAGATGTTTGTTATGCTTTTTCAATCCGTCAATTTGCTCCAGATATTCAAAATACTCCCTTTTTCCAGATGAAGACTTTTGCTGTGGATTGTCATCACCTGACATGGCTACTGAACAAAATTCAAGGAGGCCACATAAGCGCGGTTCGTTTGACATTATCATATTTATCCTTCTTTTATGTTATCTATCCAATTCTAAAAAAACATACACACATATTTAAAATGTGAAAGAAAATAATGAAGTACTTATCGCCTATTGTAAATAAAATATAATTTAATTATTTTTCTGTACAAATAATTAATTCACACAATGACGTAAGCACAGCCAATGAAAAATTATTCCACTCTTGAAAAATATCAATACGTACAACAATTGACTTAGAAATGGCAAATGTCTGTAGGAAAATGTCCTCACAAATTAAAAAAAGCATCAGGACATTACAGATAGAATTTTTCCAAACGTTTAATAAAGTTAATTCACTAAATTTTAGTTTCTTTATTTATGATGTACTAGCTGGCCCGGTCCGCGTTGCCGGCCCTTACTTTTAGTCTTTAATGCATATTTTTTAAGCATTATAGAATTATGAAAGCGGCAAAATTTTTATTATAAGTAAAATAACTCCATAGTAATTTCTAAATAGAAATAAACATTCATGGGAAAAATTATAATAGATAATAATCTACCGTCGGTTTTAGATATTTTGAATAGCCTGATCTTATTTTTCAGCCTAAGGCTATAATTGAGTGTTAAAAACCTGTATGATATAGAACTTCTATAATAGCCCCATGTGAAAACTCAGCTAAATTTTTGGTATTTAATTTCCAATGTTAAGAATACCGTGCTGCGTGGTATTTAGTTTTGTCCACCTCATAATTGAGGGCGGAATGATTTCAAAATACATCCATTACCGTGAAATATTAATTAATTTATTTTTGTCATATAAATTGTGAGTTGGAGAACCCATAAAGTCCATATTTTTCATCATAGTATAATTCAATAACGAACAAAAAAATTAATATTCGTGATTTTTTCATGTTTCTGCCACAATTTGATATTTCGGAGTTTATGGCATGTAGATGTTAATCCCACATCTACGTTCCCAACCAATATTCTCTTGGGAGTTTCAAATTCAATAGTATATCAAATTTTCTTTTCTGACCAAACATTGGTTAGGAAAGCGGATTTGTGGGTACACTAATGTGAGAACTATACTCGAATAAATGCCTATGTGGACAATTATCTGAGGGACGATTCTCTACCCCAGAGTTGCCTAAATACAATTTTTTAGCCAAATCAATTGATGAATGTGGTCAAGACCAAGATGGACTCTACTCCGAAAATTGAAAATATTATGAGAAGAGGTTTTTTACACCCTTAGAAACAAAGATGCCAAATAAAGGCCTAAAGATGAAAAAAATGTCGAAGACCCCGAACATGGCTTAAATTATATGATGGTTATACCAAAACATGATCATATTTTGCTAGGATGGTTTCTTATCAAATTAAAATGAGTGTGAGAAAAATGTGGTTAAAATGTAAACAATACTTGAAATAGGGTTGTACCCTTATCCGGGGGTCATATATCATGACCTGCAAAAGCGATTTAAGACATCTTGAAAGTTTAGGAACTATTTCTTTCTTTTTTCCAAAATGTCCAATTCGCTCTACCATTTTGCACCCTTTATATTCGGTATTTCACTGACTGCAGTTCCAATGAATTGCATTTTGAGTTCTCATTGGGCGGATTATTGCCACTCATTTTATTTTAAATATTATTCATTCAGATTTCAAGGCAATAAAAAATGTTCACTTCAATATAGTATGTCAAATTGAAAAAAATCACACCAAAAATAAATTTTTTATTAATATTTTTATTGGATACCATTCCATTGACAATTCATACAGTCAAGCCGTTCTTTAGTTATACCTTATGTAATTTTTTCCCCGATTTGAGAATTTTTGCAATGAGATCTCTTTTTTCAAGATTTTTAGAAATTTTGACTTAAATTTGGTGTGACCGCGTTAAATTATTTCGATAACATCTATTTCGTTTCGCCACCACATAATTTGGTACTGCACTTCAATGTAACCCGGCTTCTATTTCAGTTCTCAAGAAATCGAGTCAAAATAAATTGGTATTAATATTCGAATCAAAAAAAAAAAAAAAAAAATATTATAAAAAAAACACTACAAATGTACATTCGAAAAAAGTAAGTCAAAATAGAAAAAAAAACATACAAAATAAAACATTACGATTGTACATTTCAGAAGTCAAAATGAAAATGTTAATATATCACATTTTTACGCGATTTTTTTGAATATTATCCTTTTCGGAAAAGAGACAATTCAGAATTTGTATGAATCGTTAAAATCAGATCAGCGGTTCTTGAGTTATAAGCGTAGTAACTAACACAACTTACATTTATATATATAGATAATTTATTTGCGAGGGTTGCTATTTATATTTCCAAAAGAAACCTAAGAGCTATAGAATTTTGGTTACAATGTCCAATCAGGTTTTGACGCCAAAATCGAGGACATTTCTATCTCCATATTTTGAATATAATTATTTCTTAAGTGACTTTGAACTAGCTATAAAATAGCAATGCAGAAGGCAATTGAAATTTACGAAATATTCTTTATCTGAATATACAGGGTGAGATAAAAAAACTGAAACAAATCAACCTCCATAATTTTGACATTTTTTGACATTTATTGAATGAAAGCAAAAAATGTCGGAAATAGCATCAAATTTTAGAATAAAATTAGATTTATTGGAATTGGTCTCCTTTGACATGACTTATGGCCTTCAAACGGCCAATGAAACCATCACACGCTGCTCGAATGTTGCTCTGCCGTATTTTGACCCGTTCCCGCTTGCTATCGACGATCGACACTTCGGCATTTTTTAGTGCCAACCTTGCTTTTCAAAATACTCCAGACACAATAGTCCAACGGATTGGTATCCGGAGATTTTGGTGGCCATTGTGCGTTGAAAATGAAGCGAGAAACCTCATTTTGTAACCAGTGATGGGTGGCGCACTCTGGGTGCGATGGTGCTGAATCCTGTTGGAATGTCCAAGGTCTGCGGCCAAAATGTTTGCGTGTCCAAGGCTTTAATACATCTTCCCGAAAATGTTCGCGATAGTATTCGGCATTTATTCTGATACCAGGGTCGACTAGTGCGAGCGGGGAGCGATCATCGGCTGTTATGGAGGCCCACACCATCATCATGGCCTGCGCTTGAGTTCTGGTGGCCAAACGAAGGTGCACATTTTCAGCTGACCTCTTTGGCAAGTAAACACGATCATTTTTTTTGTTTACAAACTGCTTTACAACGAATGTTTTCTCATCGGAGAAAACCAAATTCGGCTGTTTCCCACTTTCCTTCAAGCGAAGCAACTTTCTAGCTCTTTTGAGTCTATTTCCTTTCTGATGTGGTGTAAGTTCTTGCACTTTTTGGAACTCATTTTTCAATATTTGCCGAATGGAATATTGCGATATGTTCAGCTCGCGAGCCATTTTTCGGCCACTGCGACGCGGGTTTCGATCAAGTCGCTTCTTTACTTTTCGAACCATTTCTGCTAATCTTGCTGCTTTTTCCGCCCACTTCTTTGAAGTCAGTGTCACGGTAACGAGCTATGGTACGAGAAACACAAGATACCAATCCAATTGCTGACCACACACCGAAACGACTTGGAGACTAAATATCTGTATCAATGGAATAAACTACCTTAAGCATTTATTTGAACGTATATTAAGTTTATCATTGGTTTATTATGCGTTTAGGAAAGTGCGCAGGAGAAAAAAATGAAAAGTTTTTGTGAGAGCCATGGAATATATTAAAGTCGTATTAATCTTTTCCACCTCCTAAGAAGCATAAAATCTTAGAGACGATTAAAATTGTGAGAAAAATATTTACCGAAAAAAAGTTGATGAATTATTCCCTTTCTCAAATGTGACTCCACAGTCCTGATGCGAATTTTTTCGATAGTCATTTATCTTCAATGTCGTCCAAATCTCGATATATAAATCGTAACCCTCGTAATTTCTCTCGTTATTTAGTTGTGATTTATTCCTCATTATTTTATTTTCGGTATCAATTTTATGTTGAATTTTATTTTCGTGTTCGTGGCCATCCACAGCATTAATCTGTGTTTCGCTATATTTTTATATTTCCCTTTTTTATCTACATTTCTATCCCGCTTGCGTTGTTGTCTTTCATGTCACTCTCTTGTTTTGGACTTTTATTTATCCTTCTACTTAATTTAATGTGCCTTTTAGCTACTGGCCGTACTGATTTTCAATTAATTAAAAAATATTTATTTTCTTTTTCTCCCTCTCTTTCCCCCCAAATACTGCCTCTAGGTACACTGAATGTTAATGTGACCGTGCTGCTGCTTAGTTTGGCTTCCCCGGATGAAAGTAGTCTGGTAATTTCTCACTTACTTGTCTTGTGTTTAAATTTAAATTAATTAGAGATTAACACTGTTCCGTTCTCTCTTTCTGCAGAAATACGAAGTGGAGTTTCTCCTGAATCAGTTCTGGGTGGATCCTCGTCTGCAGTATGGCAACAAGTCGCACTACGACTTTCTGAATGCATTGCATCATCACGACAGCATCTGGACGCCGGACACTTACTTTAGTATGCATGGTGATTTTAAGGATCCTATTATACCAATGCATTTCGCTTTAAGAATTTTCCGGAACGGGACCATTATGTACTCAATGAGGTGTGTATGGATGTCATTAAACATTATCTTTTGTGTCTCTTTCTGTGTGCTTGTTTGTTTCTTTTGGATGTATCCTTTTCATGAATATGTATTCGTAAATGTGCCGTGGAAGTCTGACCACCGCGCATAACCTGATTTGGTCAGTAGCTGGAACTGTTTTATTTTTCGAATGAGTGCAAATGAATGCCATCGTTTCCAGACACATTATGTTTGTATGTGTGTGTGTGAATCGTAGCCACTAGTATTTTACTCTTTTTTGTGACGTAGAGCTTTTTCTGTATGCAAATGATGCTAGAATATTAATTTCCATGCATACGTTTGGAAAGCAAGTATAATTTTCCCCTGCCAAGTGTCCATGGAGGACATCAACATTAGCATCAGTTCTTACAGTATCACGAAAATAGGAGGCACCAGTGTTTTGCATAACAAATAATTTTATTGTTTACCGATAAAAGACTTAAAATAAAAAAATTAAATTAAATCACAAGAATCTAAATATAGTCGAGTTCCAAAGCCTGCAATATAGAACTACGACTTTTAGACAAAATCAAGAGAACACAAATACGGTGTTCTCATTCACAACTTTTTAATAATTTGGCCATCTAATTTTTACCTTTTTACTAGTTTTTCGTCTCCGTACTTTGTGGCCAAAGCAGTACTCTCAGAGCGAATTTAAGGAATCTCAATTTTGCATTTTATAGCTGTGGATGACTTAATTACCAAAGCGGATGAAACATAGATGTGCGAGCTATAGCTATATATGAACCTATTTTTTAAATTTGACATATTTGCTTCTAGGTCGAATTCGGTTGTATGTGCTAAAGTCCATCTAATTTGGGATTATATTACAAATATAGCGTACAATAAAATTAAAATCGGACAAAGATATATATTTTATAATCTTAACTTCATCATTATCAATGATCATTGATGGTATACGTCAGTTATTACAAATTTGCAGCAACAACTTCAAAAACATACGCTGGAAAAAGTGGCAAAAATTATTCGAATATAGGGGGATATTGTTTTATGCGGACGGTGTCAAAACTTGGGCCTATATGGACAGTTCTCCGAAAGAATGTTTCCAATATACTGGAAATACTAATTGCCAATTAACATTTATTAACCAACTTAGTTGCGTCCAGAGATCTGGCTCTAGCCGTGCCACCGTTCTGCACTTTTTTGACTTTTTACATGACTGTAATATTTTGAGATTCTAGCGAGATGCTAGAATTCTTCCCTGTCGTGTCGATTGGCTTCAATTTTGTGATCAGAAATTTTTTTCTGTTTTTGGTTCATTTGAACCGCTAAAAATTTTGCAATCACCTTCCAAAAGCAAGAGACCCCTCCGTATCTCCAAATTAAGACTCATCTATATGATTTACTTGTCTACGATATTTGGCTATAATTGTTAACGAAATCAGCATAAAAAAGCCAGAAGTTTGCCTTTTGTGTATTTCGGATATAGCCTGTAAGTAATGCTGGTATTTTTTCACACAAAAGTAGTGGTCAATCCTACTCGCTGTCCTAAACTCTAACTTCATGCGACACTTCGTGTAGTTTGGTTTCTATTTGTGAACTCTTTAACTTTTTAGTTGTTGGTCCATTTCAACCCCTAAATATATTGCGGACATCTTTAAAAATAATAGGCCTAGCCCTTCTGATCCTAACCCTACCCTTGAGAAAATTTTCGTGAGGATCGGGCCATAATTGCAATTTGTATATAAAAGCCCCATCCTGTGTGTAAAGTGAAAAATATAACAAACAAGTAAGCAAAGGCTATAGTCGTGCGGGGCCCACCATGTGATACCCTACAACACTACAATATGTTAGAAGCCCCATATTTCCAAATCCATTTTGGAATATTTCGCTTTTGAAATCATGTCACGAAGCACTGTCCAGATATTATCCTTAGCATTTTGACCAGGGACATTTGCCCAATATTTACGCACTCTGCCGTGCTGATAGTTTTTGTTAAATGCGATCATCTCCAAAAGGAAGAGGCCCCTCTGTATCTCCAAATTTGTATGTAATGTTGCTATTTTTTCACACAACTTAGTAGTCCATTCTACCCGCTGTCCTAAACTCTAACTTCTTGCGGGATTTCGTCCTTTGGTGTCTATTTGTAACCTTTATAACGGCTGCAAAATCAGGAACATATTTTGTTGGTCCATTTCAACCCCTAATATAGTGCGGACATCTTTGAAAACAATAGACCAGCCCTTCTGAGCCTAACCCCTTCGTGAGGATCGGTCAATATTTGCAATCTGTATATAATAACCCAAACCTGTGTTGTAAGGTGAAAAAATATTACAAAATATTCAAAATTCAATATTATAAATCAAAATGAAAAAATTGCATGCGATAAAAAAATATGAAAAAATAAAAATATGTCACAAAATCCTACAAAATCATTATTAACATCATTATTGGTATCTTTTTATGCCATTTTTTAGATTTTATACTTTCATGTCAAGAGGGCATTCTGAATTGACAAAATTTGTAAAAATCCGTACAGCCATTCTTGAGATATATATGTATACTAGCTGAACCCGGTGCGCTTCGCTACCCCTTTTGATTTTATATGCATTCAAAATTTTATTTACGAATATATGTTGAATAAAAAAAAAAAAAACAAATTTAAAAATTAAAAAAAAATATTGCACTACTTTAATGCGTTAATAAACAAAACCATTTGAAACGCAGTAACATGACATGCATACACGAAGGGTTTGTCCTTCGGATTTATTTATTTCATAGCAAATACCAAGCGTGCAGGAAATTTTTTGAAGTTGAGTGGCATTTCTATAGCGATTAGTAAATTCGAGGTAGCAACATACTTCGCCGTAATAAGCGTATTTCAAATTAACTGTTGTGTTGTTTTTTAGTGTTAGCCTAAGGCGTTGTGGGTCAATGGTTCTTATTAAAATCATATCCCAATCTGATCCGATTTAAATATAATTTTAAAAAATTACTTTTACACCAAATTCCGCCACAACTTTCATATTTCATTGAAATTGGTGCGTCAAATATGTGAAATCGACCGAGAATATATATATGGGAGCTATATCCAAATCTTAACTAATTTCCAATTAATTTATCACATTTATTATTGTAACCAAATTCCGCCACATATTCTGAATTTCATATAAATCATATATTTCATATAAGTCATATAAATCGTGTTTGGTACATAACATGTATGAAGTCGGCCGAAATATATATGTTAGCTATACCCAAACCTCAACCGATTTCAATATAATTTGGCAATTTTTTTCTGGTGCCAGATTTCGTCTCTCTCGCTTTGGGTGCATCAAATATGTGAAATCGGTGGAAAATATATATGGGAGCTATATCCAAATCTGAACCGATTTTAGTATAATTTGACAAATTCATTTTTGCTCCCAATTTCGTTACTTATTTCAAATTTCATTAAAATTGGACATATATATCGTGTTTGGTGCACCAAATACATGAAATTTGATACATTTATTTTCGGATCAAATCCCGTTAAACATTCCAAATTTCATTGGAATCGAACATTCATATCGTGTTTGAGGCATCAAATGAACGAAATCGGTCGAAAGTATATATGGAAGCTATATCCAAATCTGAACCGATTTCAATATAATTTGGGAAATCAATTTTATAGATAAAATCCATCACACATTTCAAATTTCATTGACATTTGGAATACATAGCGTGTTTGGTGCATCAAATGCTTTAAATCGGCCGAAAATATATATGGAAGCTATATCCAAATCTGAAGCGATTTCAATATAATTTGGTAAATTTATTTTTGTTCCAAATTGCGTTACGCATTCCAAATTTGGAGACTGTATCTGTAATCGATCTATAGATATGTGCATACAAAATCTAAATTTTTGGGAGGTACCTCCGATTCTGATGCTATAACTCCAGTTCTAAGTGGAATTTCAAAAATTTATATAGCCTATGTTATTTTCAGGCGATGTTGCAGTATACATGCAAATTTTCAGGAAAATCTGTACAGCGGTTTTCGAGTCCATAAATTACAAACAAACAAACAAACAAACATTTTCCTCTTTTATAGATATATATATATATATATATATATATATATATATATATATATATATATATATATATATATATATATATATATATATATATATATATATGATTATATATATATATATATATATATATATGATATATGTGTGATTCATAAACTCAACATACTGTTTGGTTGATTTAACTGTGAGCTGGCAATTTCTCTCTTTCTATCAAATTTTAATGTTGATATCTGTTGGACTCACAGATAAATTAACAGAACAGAAAAGTACCACAGATATAGGAAAGCATATATGGATCTTCCTATCTCGCGGCTGACTCGATCTAGCTATGTATGTCCGTCTGTCCATGCTAATTTGTAATCACCCTACAGGTCGCAATTATGGCCCGATCTTCACGAAATTTAGAATGGAGGTGGGGCTAGGGCCAGAATGGAAGCTTATTGCCTTTGGAGATGATCGCATAATATTTAGGGGTTGAAATGGACCAAAAACTGAAAAATTGCCAGATTTTGCAGTCAGTGGAAGTTAGCATGGGGCTAGAAATTAGGGCTGGACAGATACCTTCCAATTTTGATGGTCATCGGGTAATATTTAGTGGATGAAATAGACCATAACATTTGTGTTGAATTTTTAAATTTTTCATTAAACCGCAACAATTTTTAATCCCGGCGAAATCAGAAATAAGCAAACAGGTCAATTCTGACCGTTACGTAGATGCCGATAGTAAATATATCAGATATATACATAGCGAAATATATATATATATATATATATATATATATATATATATATATATATATATATATATATATATATATATATATATATATATATATATACAAAGGAAGGGGATGTTAGCCAGAATGCTTATATCTCCAGAATGGCTGGACCGATTTTTACAAATTTTGTCAATTCAGAATGCCCTTTTGACATAAAATAATAAAA